CCTGGACGCCTGGGTCTGAGGGAGGAGGGGCTGGGGGCCTTGGGTCTGAGGGAGGAGGGGCTGGGGGCCTGGACTCCTGGGTCTGAGGGAGGAGGGGCTGGGGACCGGGACTCCTGGGTCCGAGGGAGAAGGGGCTGAGGCCTGGATTCTTGGGTCTGAGGATGGAGGGGCTGGGGCTTGGACTCCTGGGTCTGAAGGAAGAGGGGCTGGGTTTCTGGACTCCTGTGTCTGATGGAGGAGGGGCTGGGAGCCTGGACTCCTGGGTCTGAGGGAGGAACCTGACTGACCCTGGCCCTGCCCCCTCTAACCCAGATTGGCGAGCCTTGCCGCCGCCCAGCCCCTCCTTGCACTACTCCACGCTGTCCTGCTCTCGGTCCTTCCACAACCTCTCGCATCTGCCCCCGTCCTACGAGGCTGCTGTGAAGTCCGAGCTGAACCGCTACTCCTCCCTCAAGAGACTGGGTGAGTCCTAGCAAGGGCAGCGGGCGGGGAAGGGGAGGGGGCGGGGCCAGAGTCTGGGTTCAGGACCATGGACAGTGGCCCAAGCGCCTTCCAATGCTTTAGATTCTCTCCCAGGTTTTACTAACCAAGTTCGTTCTAGAATTACCTGAGGTACTTTTGTATCAGAATCACTTCTGGTTTGTTTCTTTTAAGTGCAACCTTCTGGTCTCCCCTCCCAGGACTTATTATTGTATTCATCAGGACTTGGACTTGCAATTAATAGAAATACAACTTAAGTTAAAGGAAAAAAAATACGTTGACTTGATCATGGAAAGTCTACAGGTCACCAGATTGCAATGTAGCCGCTGTGGGGGCCCAAGAGCTGTCTCTCAGCTCTCTACGCAACCGGCGGGCCTCATTTTCAGACGCTCTCCCCTTGTGGTGGAGACGACCGCCCTGCAGATGTTCAGGCTGCCGTTCTACCGGCTCAGGGACCCTGGCAGAAAAGAGTCTCTGGCAACAGTTCTGGCCAAAAATCCCAGGCCTGGATGCCACTGGTGCAAGTTGGGCCACATGCCCATCCCTGAACCCATTCCTGTGACTCTCAAGGACATATTGCAGTCTGTGGCCCATCTCTGGCAGTGGAGCGGCCTTCAAACATCTTAAAATGAGAGCCTCACTAGGAAACACTTGTTCTTCTTTGTTACCATTATGTTTTCAAGACAGGGTCTCACTCTGTCACCCAGCCTGGAATGTAGTGGCATGATCATAGCTCACTGCAGCCTCTACCTCCCCAGGCTCAAGCGTGATCCTTCCGTGTCAGCCTCCTGGGTAGCTGGAACTAAGAGCTTGTGCTGCCATGCCTGGTTAATTTTTTATTTTTTGTAGAGACGGGGTTTCACTGTGTTGCCCAGGCTGGCCTCAAACTCCTGGGCTCAAGCAAGCCACCCACCTCAGCCTCTCAAAGTGCTGAGATTACAGGCATGAGCCACCATACCCAGCCAGAAACTATTTCTTTTTTTTTTGTTTGTTTGTTTGAGACAGAGTCTCGCTCTGTCGCTCAGGCTGGAGTGCAGTCGCATGATCTCGGCTCACTGCAACCTCTGCCTCCTGAGTTCAAGTGATTCTCCTGCCTTAGCCTCCTGAGTAGCTGGGATTACAGGTGCATGCCACCACGTCTGGCTAATTTTTGTATTTTTAGTAGAGATGGGGTTTCACCATGTTAGTGAGGCTGGTCTCAAAGTCCTAACCTTGTGATCCACCTGCCTCGCCTCCCAAAGTGCTGGGATTACAGGCGTGAACCACTGTGCCCAGCGTTTTTTGTTTTGTTTAATTTGGTTTTTTTGTTTTTTTTGAGATGGAGTTTCACTCTTGTTGCCCAGGCTGGAGTGCAATGGCACCATCTCAGCTCACTGCAACCTCTGCCTCCTGGATTCAAGTGATTCTCCTGCCTCAGTCTCCAGAGTAGCTGGGATTACAGGCATGTGCCACCACTCCCGGCTAATTTTTGTATTTTTAATAGAGACAGGGTTTCGCCATGTTGGCCAGGCTGGTCTCGAACTCCTGACCTCAGATGACCCACCTGCCTCAGCTTCCCTAAGTGCTGGGATTACAGGCGTAAGCCATCGTGCTCGGCCCAGAAACGATTTTCATTTTGTGACCCGTGAGACACACACACACATATATGTATATATTTTTAATTACAGGAAAGCTTTGAAATTTTTTATTACAGACATTTGCAAACATACATGCAAGTAGAGAAAATTATAAAATGAGCCCCAGGTTCCCATCACTCAACCTTAATAATTAACCACATTTTGTTAATCTATACTCCCTCCACCCCACTTTTTGGTGGATTCTTTTTGTTTGTTTGTTTGTTTTAAGAGACAAGATCTCACTCTTTTGCCCAGGCTGGAGTGCAGGGGTGCAGTCATGGCTCACTGCAGGCTCTACTTTCTGGACTCAGGCAATCCTCTGACGTCAGCCTCCCAAGTAACTGGGACTACAGGCATGAGCCACCATGCTTTAGCTAATTTTTTTTTTTTTTTTAAATTTTGAGACGGAGTCTCGCTCTATCGCCTAGGCTGGAGTGCAGTGGCCGGATCTCGGCTCACTGCAAGCTCCACCTCCCTGGTTTACGCCATTCTCCTGCCTCAGCCTCCCAGGCGCCCGCCACCTCGCCCGGCTAGTTTTTTTGTATTTTTTAGTAGAGACGGGGTTTCACCATGTTAACCAGTATGGTCTCGATCTCCTGACCTCGTGATCCGCCCATCTCGGCCTCCCAAAGTGCTGGAATTACAGGCTTGAGCCACTGCGCCCGGCCTAGCTAATGTTTTGGTTTTTGTTTTTTGGTTTTTTTTGTAGAGATGGAGTCTCACTGTATTGCCCAGGTCACTCCTGAACTCCTGGGCTCAAGAGACCCTCCTGTTCAATCACCCAAAGTGCTGGGATTACAGGAGTGAGCCACCTCGCCTGACCTTGGTGGATTCTTTTAAACTAAATCTCATCCTTTAATATTTCAATCACACACACACACACGTCTGAAGAAAGAATTTCATGAACCAACACTTACCCCTGATTCCCTTATTACATAAACACTTTCTGATAGTTTTCTCTTCTGGTCTATTTGATTTCATTTTTCAAAATGCTGCTCACTACCCGCAAAATCAACTTCACAAGGTAACAGGTCACAACTCCAAGTGTGAGTCACATTGCTCCAGGATGAGAGGGGATCAGTGGTTCCCCAAAAGCAAGAGTTAGGTTGGGTTCTACTCCCAAAAGAAGGGATAGGCAGAGGCGGGGGAGAAGAAGAGGAAGTCCTCCACATCTACTGACCCAGCATTGTGGGCTGGGCCTGGGAATCTGCATTTTGGCCACACAGCTAACGTGGCGCCCGGGATCCTTGTGGGGCGACAGACCTGCATGGGAGCGGGGTGTGAGGAGGTAGGAGGGGGAGGGCTCTGGATGCGCAGGGGACCCACCGCTGTGGCTTTTCCCCCTCTCCCCGCAGCCGAGAAGGATCTGGACGAGGCCTACCTGAAGCGCCGGCCCGTGGAGTTGCCCCGCGGCACGCTGCCCCT